TTTACTACTTCGGGACCTACATCAAGCCATGAGCTCCTAAGCTTCAGTTTAATCACACTCGGGATTCACAGCAGGAAATTGATCTGAAGCAAACAAGCAAGTCCAACTCTGAATAAAATGAAACTCTTGGTGTAGACTAATCAGAGTCTGGACTTTAATGAAATTGAGAACTTTACACGACTTGAAAACCTTATATTGGACCTTAATGAAAATAATTCTGAAAGTAGAGTGGACAAAATCCCCCCCCAGTGATGTAAATCAGTCACTGCCCAGCACTGGACCTCAGACAAACTTTTACTTACCAGATTTGAGAAGTTCAGATCAGCAGTCTAAAGAAAGGAAAAAATACATCAGATCACTTTTTAATGATTCAGACAGTTGAGCCTCTTCACACACAATCCAATTTACTATGACATAAAATAACTAGTAAAATCCTCAATTTCTTCAAGCCTTTATGAACATTAGTTGCAGAGTCTCACATGGCTATAACGTGTAATAAAAGCATTCATACTACAGAAGTGCAAACAATAGGCACCAATATTTGTTGGCACAAATGGAGGATATACCAAATATTTCCAACACAGAAGCTTTGTGGCTCAAACATTTCCTATCAGAAGTCAGTTGTAATAAAATGTGAAGAACCACAACTTTAATGTCATTTCAGGTTAAAAACATTGAATACAAAGTAAGTGTTTAAAGCAGAAGCAACAGAAAACCTCATCAGTTTTAGTGTATGTTACAGCAACAACAGTGGCGCACAATTTTTTTTCTTTTGAAATTAAAATTTCTTAAAGTATTACAATAAAAAGTCCTTCCATTGTACCTGTTGCTCGGAATATTTATGTGGTTTGCAGTATGTCCCTTTTTGGCAACATTTAGATTTAATTTTAAAACACTGGGTTTAATATACCTCCTCACACTTTAAATTTTCTTACTTTTTATTATCGCTTAAGAGTAAAAGTATCATTTGTAGTCACTCAGGCAAAATACTTCTAGTGTTTTGACTTCATGCTAATTCACAAGTGGAAGATGAGAGACACTAAAAATTGATAGCTGTGTTGCTCTTAACTGTTTAAGTCACCACCTATACTGACTCACACAAAGCACTTTTATAGTTGTGTTCACTACATAATCCACATAAGGATTATGTAGCATAAGGAGAAATGGAACAAGTGTATGCAAACATCTCTGACATTATTTGGACTTGATAAGCCATCAAAAATTAAAATCAGACATAAATAGGCTATTAAACTTCAGGGACAGTCAGAGGTCCTATCTGGGGGCTTTGCTGCTACAGGTTATAAATCCTGACTGTCTTTTGGCCATGTAAATTACTAAGCATTACCATCACTGTCTACTTACCAGAAAAGGCAAAACCAAAGATCTGTTCACTCTGTAGCAAAAGACAAAGAACAAAAATACAGAATGAGACAACTCAAATCAGCATCAGTCAATACTGCATCACTCTCTCTAGTCAAATATATTCAGGAAAATTCTTTGAATACCACAGCTGGAATACAAACAACAGCTCCTCTCCGTTTTCTTTTGTTCTCTACAACCTAATAAAGATCACTCTTTATGAAAGTAATATGCAGTCCATTTGCAATAAACCACACAAGTTTCTTAGTCATGTATTGCTCTACAATTTAGGTTCGATTACATAGCAGAGTAGATATCATAACCAATGATTTGCTACACCTAGAAATGCACACTTTATCAAATGGTGACATCACAATTTAAAAGCAGGCAACAATCACAAATGATCGCTTCTATGTAATGTTTGTAGCCTTTAACATTTGAGGTGGCCTGCATTCAAATTCTATTAACACAATAAAAACAAACAGTCTGAAAACTTAAATTAAAATTCAGTAGAATAAGAACTTAAAAGTACACAGAAATTTACTCAGTATGACTTTTGGTAAAAATTAAAAACTTGGTGCCACATGTTTCCTACAGCAGTTTCTATATGTTTCAATCACATTTGGGGCATGTTTGATACACAGCAATAAGCACTCAATTAAATCTATGACAAACTTATGATAGCTGATATTAGGGCCTAATTATCAAAATGTAGTATAATGATAATTTCTTTGTAGATAATTTAATGATAAAAAACAGAAATGAGTCCTGAATGTAAGCTGTTGCATGTAAGGACTTTGCTGGAGATTCCCACATTTATTTAAAAAACAACAACAACAACAACAACTAACAAACAAACAAACATGACTTTCACATACAGTTCATCTTTTGTAAATGTGGGCAGGATTATTTTCAAAAACACAGCCCTGATTCTTTTTTTTAAAAGTATCTGGCCTCTTATAAATTTGTTAATTTTATGTTTTCATCCCACTTGTATTTTCAAAGTCATCATCACAAATTACAAAAAGCAATTTTCAGACCGGGATTTAATTTCTGGAGAGAAATAAGCTTTTGAAATCCTCAGAGCCTCTTCACACGCAATCCGATTTACTGTGACATAAAATAACTAGTAAAATCCTTAATTTCCTTTAACAACTTAGTCTCATATGGCTATAACGTGTAATAAAAGCATTCATACTACAGAAGTGCAAAGAATAGGAAGGATATACCTGTTGGAAGGAATATTTATGTATTTTGCAATATTTCCCTTTTTGCCAACATTTATATTTAATTTCCAAACACACTGTATTCACTAAATAATTAATAACCTAATTTTAACTTATAGCAGCGGTCTCCAACCTTTTTTGCGCCACGGACCGGTTTGTGCCCGACAATATTTTCACGGGCCGGCCTTTAAGGTGTCGTGGATAAATACAACCAAATAAAACTAGTACCGGTACCGAATAAAAGAAGATTTATTTATAACACACGTGAAAAGACCCAGGAAAACCAAGTTAACTATAAAAACGATAACAAAATAACGCTGAAAACCGATAAAAACCCTGAAAACCAGACATTTCACACCTGAGCCTCAACTCTCGTGGCCCGGTACCAAACGACTCACGGAATTGGTACCGGTCCGTGGCCCGGGGGTTGGGGACCGCTGACTTATAGCATAAATAAAGAACACACTGACTTTAATATACCAAACACTGTCCACTCACAGCTCTGGTTCTCTTAGTTTTTTCTCATTGCTTAAGTGCTTAAAATTTTAAGGGACATTTTATGGGACAATGAGAGGTCCTGTGTGGTGGCTTTGCTGCTACAGATTCTACATCCTGACTATGTGTTTTTGGCCATAAGTAAATGGAAACATCACAAACCACTCACTCAACCTACTGTATGTCTAACACTAAACATTACAATGACTGTTTACTTACCAGCAAAGGCAAAACCAAAGATCTATGTCACTCTGTATAACAAAAGATAAAGAATAAAAAAATATATAACTCAAATAAGCATCAGAGTCAATATTGCATCAATGTCTGTAGTCAGAAAGATTTGGTTAACGTCTTTGTTTTTCACAGCTGTAACACAAAACACCAACTCTCCTCTGTTTTTCTACACCTTATTAAAGATTGCCGTTTTCATTAAAGGTAATATGTGGTTTCATCCATTTGTAATAGGCATCACAAGTTTCATGTGAAGCTCTAATACTGTTGTGCTCTTAGATAACACAATAGATGTTATAAGTAATGATATGCTACACCTAGAACTGCACACTTTATCACATGGTAAAATCACAATTTCAAACCATGCAACATTCCTAAATGAAAGCTTGGATGTAATTTTTGTAGGCTTTAACATTTGTGCTGGCCTGCATTCAAATTCTACATGCATAGTATCATTTTATGTGCTGTTATTTTAAAACAAATATCTATGTACCACATTAATAATATTAATGGCACACTGCAGCACTTTATTTATTTGAAGGTGGGCTATTTTTTATTTAATTAATCTTCCACAAAGTGAGAAATCTAACAAAGTGTTTTTCTTTAAAAGTGGGCCTGCACAAACAAGTGTTTGTTAAACAGTTCTTAAAAAACTAAAAAGCCTACTTCTAATTAAGAAAACTTATTATTCTTGTATTACCTATGCATTTTATCCTCACTCTATCCCTTCCCTTAATTAGCCCGCAACAGACACACACGCGACTCTTTTTCTCCCAGTGGTTGGTCAGAGGCGGTAAAATGGCTCCTTTGATCTTACGGACAGCTGTCTGCACACAGCAGCTAATCGCTGGTTCTAAGATGGAGGCTCTTACATAAAGTTACAAGTTAAAGAATGAGGCTGTTTTAACCGACCGATTTCTGAAGAGGAGAAATAACTGCACTTCCCATAACAGACACAGAAACACTAAAACACAGAATGAAGTTCATGAAACAACTCAATAAAGTGTGAAATGAACCATTTTCATTTCACACTGCGCTAGGAGCGCTAGGTGCGCTAGGTGTTAGCATTGGGTTGTCAGGGCTAGCATCTCAAAAACTCCTTTAAAAATACCAGAATTACAACTGTTCACTTAAAAAAGCGGCCATTGTGTTACTTTAATGTGAGCTATACTTCGACCGGCTTTATAAGTAACTAAGAACAACTCAGTAAATCACTCAAACAGCTTATAGACATTGCAGAGAAGCATCTCTTACCAGCAGCAGATCCGGACAAAGTGGGCGGAGATGTAGGAGTGAGCCAGTGACGTAAGAAAAGAGGCATTCACGAGTAGTGGGAAATTCCCCCATCTAACAAAATTGGAATTGGAAATGTGAAAATGTATGTACAGTTCAATATTATTGTACAAGATTTATTTGCTACCAAAAAAACTAGCAGAAGCTTAATTCTATAAGTTAAATAAATATTTCAAGCAGGACTATTTGACTTTGAAATAAATATAAGGTCTTAATGTTAAAATTTAATGTATTATGATAGATTTGTTCAATTGTGAAAACTTGGCAGAAATTTAAAAAACAAACAAAACCAAGAAGGAACAGCCAGCTGATACAGAAAAACACAAGTCTGGACACATACACATGCACACAGTGAAACAGAAACATAATAACTTCTCAGAAAAACAAGAATTTAGGGGAAATACTATGAGTTTGCATAAACAATAACACATTGCAGAAATACAATGATTTAGTATAAATAGTATAAAAGCAAAAAGACTATGATTGAACAGAAATACTATATTTAGCAAAAATTCTGCAAAATAGCACAAATACTAAGATTTTGCAAAAATACCACTGCTTTAGCATTGCTTCACTGAGTGAATGTGTTAAATGCAGAGAGGAATTTCCCAATGGGACTCAATAAACTATCCATCCATCCATTCACTTCTGCTTATCCTTTTCAGGGTTGCGCGGGAGCGCTGGAGCCTATCCCAGCTGTCATAGGGCGAGAGGCGGGGTACACCCTGGACAGGTCGCCAGTCTGTCACAAGGCCAACACACAGGGACAGACAACCATTCACACTCATATTCACACCTAGTGGCAATTTGGATTATCCAATTAACCTATCCCCACAAGCTGCACGTCTTTGGACGGCTCCCACCGTCCAAAGACATGTGTGGGTTCTCTCCAGGTACTCCGTCCAAAGCCGGAGTACCTGGAGAGAACCCACGCAAACACGAGGAAGCCGGAGTACCTGGAAGGAAACCACGCAAACACGGGGAGAACATGCAAACTCCACATAGAAAGACCCCGCCAGATGGTGGAATTGAACTCAGGACCTTCTTGCTGTGTGGCAACAGTGCTAACCACTGTGCCACCGTGCTGCATCAATAAACTATATATACATTATTTTGTTATTTATATACTGTATTTAGCAGAAATAATATGATTTGGCATAAACACTATGCTTGGCACAAATACTACGAATTTGGCACAAATACTGTGTTTTTAGCGCAAATACTATGATTTAGGAGAAATACTATGATTTAACAGTAATACTATAACATAGAAGAAATACTGTGATTTTGTTAAAATACTATGCTTTGGCACACATGCTATGATTTGGCAGAAATACTACTTTTTAGCAAAAATCAGAATCAGAATCAGAATCAGAATCAGAATGGGGTTTATTGCCAAATGTTGAGCA